TATATATATATATATATATATATATATGTATATATTCTGACAAAAAGATATTTTGGATATTCGAAAAAGATATGGATGCTTTTAAAGAAACACGCAAATGTAGGAATCGCCAATTTATATATTTTTATGTTTAATCAATGATTTTATTTTATTTTTATAAATTATTAATTTTGTGAACTGATCAGTTAGTCCTCTGTGGAGTGCTCAGACTTGACCGGACCGATCCGATTTCACTACGTTCGCACGCAACAAGGTTGCGCCATGTTGGAGGCACGTGACAGAGGGTGCTCCGCACGTGCCGAGTGGCCTCGGTTTCCCTTTCGGCCTGTGGGGGTGGGTGGGGGCTCACCCCTGTGGCCAAGCCTTTTGACGCGGCATCGAGAGAAGCGCCAGGGAGACGCATCGAAGAAAGGCGAAGCCCTTCTTTCTCCTCCTCTCTCCTCTTCCCTTCCCTTTCCCCACTTCTCTTTCCCTTTCTTCCCTTCTCGTGGTGGAGATCTGGAGGAGAAAGTTTACTCGCCTGATTCTTGTTCTCGATCGTGTGGGTTCGATAATGGAGCAGCTCGTCAATTTCATCATCCGCCCCCCAAGGTTCTGAGTCGATTCAATTAATTGTCCTTCTTTTTGGGTTTCTTTGTGCCTTTTGTACCTTTTGCATCGATAGAATAGGCTTTTTTTGGGGTAATTTTTCGTCGAGGGCTTCGTGTCTTTCGGAATATAATTTGGTTTGATAACGTTGACATGGGAAGCGATATATCACGAGAGTCGCGCTGATGAGAATATTTCCTGCTGCAATAACGATTACGGTTCATCGAAATGCGCAGAATCGAGTTGCTGCCAATCTGTTCGTCGTCTAAATTGACCGAATCTTGGCCCGGGTTGACGGAAACGCGCATGACCCCTTTACGCTTCTTGGCCCAATTATTTCATTACATCGATCTCGGGGCACGTGTTCTTGTTCTGCTGCAGTTGATCTTTGATGATGCGGTCGTTGTCGAGTTGTTTCTCCACCGCGTTCTTCTTTGTTGCGCATTTTGTAATTATTGATCGAGATTGCAGCGGTATTCCGACAGCTTATTTTGACTTTTGTAAATATTGCTATTATTTCTATCATGAAAGAAGAATCATCCATAGACCCAATCATTTGGTTTCATACCTCCACATAGTTCCACGGCTCCTAGGTCAGCTTCCTCATTAGAAATGATTGAGGAATTGTTTAGAGGTCCCATATAGAGATAAGTATCTATCTCAATGGATCTTGGTTTTGATGATAAATATAAGCCATACCGAGTTCTGCAGTTCATTTGACTGGATTTGAGGGCAGCTGATAGATTCTTGCAGCATAAATGTGAGAAGCAGAGGAGTTAGCATAGAAGGTATGCTTAAGAAAAAGATATTAGAAGAGATTCTGAGAGAGAGGAGAAAGAGGTGGTCTCATCCTTTCCCTTAAGACTCCACACATCCATCTAGTTTAGCCAAGTGCACCTTTTTGTAGATACTAGATAGGTCGTCTACAGTTGTATTTCTAATCTGATTGGGGACACCTTGCATATGAAACTACAGAATCTAAAACGACCAGTATGGAGTTTCTATTATTAGACTAAATGTGGGCAAATGCAGATTGCTAAAAGGAACAAATCAGTAACTCAAAGTCCCTCTCGTGGTCTCGTGGATGCTGAATTGCAACCAGTTTGACTTTTTTTAATATATGATTGATTTGTAACTGAGCAATTGTAGTAAAAGATGTAGGTGATCTCATATGTTAAACCTCAATCCAACAGGTTCAAACCGGAATGAGGAGATTTGAGTGTGAAGTATTTGAAGACAATCTTGGGATATGTCTTTGTAAAAACATATGGAATGAAGGGCAAGTTGCACATATTGCCGGGTGTCTCATGGCTTAGGCTATCTTTTCACAGGATGAGCCTTGGCACCACAATGAGGCTTCTCATGTGTAATCTGGATGACTAGAGTTGTAGGTCACAGCAACATCTTTGCCATATTTATCAGCAAGGAATCAAATATCGTTATTACCTGGTACATACCACTTTTTATAGACCTGTCACCTGATGACCAGATAGGTTGTTACTAATTGGTATTTAGGTTTTTATTATTTTTGCTCGGACTAGTCAGTTATTCTGGTTCGCATAACACTGGTTGGTTGTACCTGGTTCAATTCAGTTTTTTGACAATTCCAATCAAGTAGCCGTACCAAAGTGGCCAAGGCTCTGATTGTTGGTTTTCTCAATTGGACTGGCCTAACGAACTTTGCTAACTATTCTCTATGCTTATAAAATTAAGATGCACACAATGTTCCTCTGAAATTTCGCATGGGCAGGAGTCATGTGAACTGGACCGTCATTGTAAATGAAGGATATTCTGAACTGTGAGTGGGCTATACATGCTATAATTGTGGTAGACTTATTTGAAGCTATACTTATAACTTACTTGGTCCTTGAACTGATAATGGTCTTTAGTTGGTCAGCATCACAAGCAACATGTCATAGGGTTACCAGCAATTTAGCTTATAAAATGTGAGACTTTTCTTGTTGTCTTATGCATATTCTGATATATAGCTACTTATTTATACTTTTTTTAAATTTAATCTCTCGCTCAAAGGCATGACATGTATGTTATACGTTTCAGAGCTGATTACAGTCCACAAGATGATTTGTTGGAGCAGGAATTTATGCTGAAGGGACGATGGTTTCAGAGGAAGGACTTGGAGGTAACAATATTTGATGACTTTTCTGAGCTTTGTTGCTGACGTACACCGCTAAGAACTTCTTTAGCATGTGACCTGTTTGCACCTGCGGCTGCTTGTTGGTTGAAACATCATGATGTCCATGAAGCTTCTCTTGTAGCTGCTCTCCACTATTGCATTATAAAAGCTATCCAATTATTTCCTTATTTTTCCATGTTACATTGTGAGAAAAATACAGAGTGATGTTATATTCTTTAGAAAGAAAAGAACTGAACTTGGTTCTTACCAGTATGAAGAACTGGTCGGGGAAATAAAGCTTTGTCTGACGATGATATGTACTCTTTAGTGGTCTTCTAAAATCTGCCACCATATGTATCTTGTTAGATACTTGGTCCATTATAAATATAAGTTGCCCAGGAGAAATGATAAAATAGCATGTAATGAACAGTAGTATTATGAAGCAGAAATATATCAAAAGCATCATGCAAGAAATAAAAACAAGTTTGAGTGCAGTTCTTATTGTTTGGTTTCAAATGACAAGTATTACCAAGAGGTTCTTAATCGAGGTTCAAGGTCTTCTATCGGAGCTGGTGCTTGGAGCAACTTGACTTTCTTTTTGTCTAGTTTTACAATTATCAGCATGGTTGGATGCTGCTCATTAAACTATCTTGAATTCTAAATTGTTCTGATATCTCTGAATTCAAAACTTTTCATAATTCATTTAATCCTTACAAGAAACCAATGGGCCATCTAAGCAGAAACCAACAGCAATGATGCTATTATATCTATTTTGCTCATCAATCCAAATCTTCACTAATAAAAACAATGATATCATGAATACTGTGGAGATAAATGGTCAGGCTCAAAGTTTCAAACAGAGGCTGGACTAGTATGCACTAATCGGTATTCCCGATCCTGATCAGGGATCGACAGTGGATCATTTAGGTTGGTACATTGCCTTTTTCTTTGGTGAGGGCAGGTGCAGGCACATTTATTCTTGTTGGCTAAACAAATACCTATTTTTAGTGGTTTTGTTATTTTTTTAATCTCAGTGGCAGGTTTGGTAAGTCAGTGTGTGCTTGCATTTGTTTGTTTTTTTACCTTGTTTATGTTAACATGGATATTAGAATATTTCATTTCAGGTCATAAATGGTCGAGGAAAGAAACTTCAGTGCAGTCACTATGTACCCCTTGTGATTCCAGAAGGAAAAGTTTTACCTTGTGTTATATACTGTCATGGAAATAGGTAACAAAGAAATTGCAGATTTGTTCTGGATATCTTGTCAGGGTGTCTGCACTACATTCATCTATTATCCTATTTGTGTAGCATCATGGTTAGAATTTAAATTGATTTATCCATTCTGCTATATTTTGTTATGCGGAATATATTTATTTTGGACAATTTCTTTGATGCAACTTATAGTTATATGAACCTTGAAATCAGCAACATGGAATGTAGGTGCCATAGTGACAAGCATTATTTAGCTTAATGGTGGTTCCTATGTGAACTTTTTAATCATTCAGTTTTTCTAAATTGCTTATTCTTCTCTATCACTAGTCATTGCATATAATCTCAAGCGA